AATGACTAAACAAGGAAAAAAACCACCAAACTACTAAGCTGAGGCTAATTTTTTTTATCAAGTAGCCGATGATGTTCACCATCATTCAAACTGAATGGTCGACCGAGGCATGTCATTCAGACCACTTACATGTTCTACATTTGGTTGGTTTCAGAGAATGCCTCCTTGCTATGTGGTCTTTGAAGGGAAGAAACCTGGGATTTATTTTACATGGTATGAGTGTGCTAAGCAAGTGCTTAGGGAAGAAGGGGCTATCTATCAGAAGTACAACAACTATGATGATGCTCTTAGATATTTTAATGCAAGGGTACCTCAAGAACCCTTGCTGTTACCAATTGATGCCCCTCATGGGGATGCATCAGCATCCCATGAACTAGTGACAGCTCAAGGTTCTGAAATCTATCCTCATTCATTTGGGCTGCAAGGCTGTTGCAAAAATGCTATCATCTTGATCTTGTTTATGGTTGTAGTTGGTCTGTCACTCAAGCTGTTTATGTGCCACAACTGTTGTTTTAATTAGGCTGATGATGACACAATAGGATGACTGCATTAGCTGGCTACATGCCACTTTGATTCATGTACTCTCTTTTCTGTTAACTTGTTGCCCTTCTCGGCTTGCCAAACTACTTAATTCTGCTACTGTTCTTAATTTGCTTCTTTGATTATGCAATGTAGCTGGCAATGTATGTGTTGATTAAATGGAATTAATCTGAGGCCTATGTCTTTTGTACATTTTCATTCAAAGTGTTTGCTTCTCTATTGATCATGCTGTTCTTCCTTCTCTTTGGGCTAGGCCGAGCACAACAGCTGGCAAACACAATCTGTGTTCGGCAGTTGGTGGCGGTTGGCGTTTGAGCCCGACTGAGTATTGGGTCACAAACACCAGCTCGCCTGGGCCGGGTTGAATCGGTACAGGTGCACAAACAAGCTGCGTTGCAGCAGTTGGGGCAGGCCTGCCCATGCCTGGTCGGTTTGGGCTGGCTAGGCCGTGCTGGTCCAGGTGCGCAAACACGCCCTTAGAGAAGGAACGGGGCAAATGGTTCCATGAATCCAGCTGCCCATGTCGTCCTTTTTACCTGTGCAACCGGTCCTTGTCTGAGGCCCTGTTTAGTTCCCAAAAATTTTCACCCCAAAGTGTCACATCGAATCTTGCGGCATATGCATGGAGTACTAAATGTAGACAAAAAACAAAACTAATTGCACAGTTGGGTGATAAATCGCGAGACGAAACTTTCGAACCTAATTAGTCCATAATTAGACACTAATTGACAAATACAAACGAAAGTGATACAGTAGCCAAAACCAAAAAAATTCTCCATCTAAACGCGCCCTGAGCCAAGTTTGGCAGTCATACGCAGCCGTGGCACGATGTCATACTGGCTTTCGTCATGGTGGAGCGTCACAGTGCGGGTAACAGTAACGGCCATACCGTGTGCCATCTCAATTAGGCGAAACAGTGACGGTCAATTGACTAATCGGTCTTCGCTGTGTTGTGGTGGAGTCAAGTGGAGTTCGCATCGGGGTACGGTTGTTCCCTGTTTACCGCAGAGGTATGGGCACGGTGTACCCTTTTCTGTGCTGGAGTGGTTGAGCTCGTTCTTATCCACTTCGTTTAGGCGGTGTTTGGGTCGGGCGAAGCGGAGTCCGGGTGGAGGGACTCAAATAGAAAGGGTCGGGCGAGGAGGAATATCTTTCATTCAGGGGAATATTCTTTCCTAAGACCGAGCGAAGTGAAACCCGTACCTTTCCCGTTGTGGTGCGTGGCGGGACCCATACTCGTTAGCTCGGGCGAAGCAGAACTCGCCGTGGCGCAGATTGGTTTTGCGGTGCGAATGACCAGGAGAAATGGGTCCCGGGCCATTTAGGTCAGGCGAGGCGGAGATCCCTGGCCGAAGCTCGGGCGAACGAGGGTCGATGAGCGTTTGATCGGGCGGGGCGTGGGCCTTTGCTTTCAGTGTTGGGCTGCCCTTTGCCTGTTGTTCTTAAGTTTGATTCTAATTAATCTCACTTATTAGGCCTAAGCGCTGTCTTAAGGGACCATATTATTTGACCCCCAACAGTAGCCCCCGAGCCTTTGGAGGAACGGGATGTTCCTTCAGAGGCTTGCGATCGCTTTTTGATTTTTCATTCGTTTATTTAGGCTGTTTATCCACTCCGTAGGGGGTCGCGCGCCCCCTACGGGTGTAGCCCCCGAGCCTTTGTAGGAAGGGTTTCTTCCTGCAAAGGCTGATTCGAACCTTGCGATTTTTTCGATCGGGCAATCTATCTGGGCGTTTTGTTCCTGTAGGGGGCGCGCGAGCGCACCCTACGGGTGTAGCCCCCGAGCCTGCGGACAAGTGGAACACTTGTGCTTAGGCTAAAATTTATTTGTTTTCTGTCGTTGCATCACGTCTGCCTCCCGTGTTCGAGCCCCCAAGTCCCTGCATGTTAGTAGAAAACTAAAGAATTGTGTTACCTGGTCGGGGCTCAAACAATTTGTTGACCTGCAAAAAAGCAAATTTCATTCTGCGACCTCGTTGTTGGTCTCCTTTGCGAGTCCAGGCCCCCGAGTCTCTGTGCCTTCGAGATCCGTCCGAGGGTTGGTTTGACTTTTTTAATTCGATATCCCTTCCGTGTCTCCTTCGAGAGAAACAGAGGGACTGAGCTCGGCCGCGACTTCCTCGGTGGTTGAGTCACGGTGCTCGGTGAGCTACAAACGAGCATGTCTGTATGGAGTCCGATATCCCTATTGGAGGGACATCAGTGCGGGGTCCTCTGGTGACCATCTCCAATTTTCCCAGCCAGTTCGATCTGTATAGTTATCAAGTCCGTTCGACCGGACATAACGGCTCTTTGCCTTCCTTCGAGGGAGAACCACATATCAATCCAGCCAGTACTCAGATGCAGTTCAGGATGCCCTTAGCGCCCATGCACCAGGGTATTGCTTACGCTCGGAACCCATCCCGTTCCACCCCTCACTCAAAAAGGGACCCTAGGGCAGCTGTCGAACCCGTTGGTGGGCCAGCCTTGGAACTCGCAGGTTGTTTCGGGGCCGTACAGCCTTTCGGCTCATAGCCCATTTACTTGGGGCAGCGCCGTGCGCAACGATACGAATTTCAGTTTGTGACGTGAGCGGGCGAGTCGTCAGCCGTGTAGTGCAGTTTTTAATGAAAAAGATGGCGCGTGCGGGCGTACCTCGAGCGAAACGAGTGGAGGATGTTGGTTCCGCGGGTACGAGCGGGCAGAGAAGATCATGCGCGCGGGGTTCGAGGCCCGATGAAGATCGTTTGCGCTACGGGGATCCAGGTAGCCGGCTTGCCTTCCTTCCTGCGTAAGATAAAGAGGGGGGCAAAGCCACATACCGTTCCTTGCGGTCTTTTGTCTTCTCATTCTGTCGTCCTTGCCTTCTCAAGCCCAAGCTTTCGCATCGCCGCCTCCCTCCATCATTTCTCTTCCTCCTTTCGCCACCAGTTGATCTAGCCTCAAACCATGGCCGCGGATGAAGCCGTGAAGCCCTGGTCCCAGTGCCAAACCACCGATGAGAAGTTGGGGAGTTTGGCGCAGAGGGGTCTGCTCTGCCCTCGGACCGCCGCCCGGGAGTGGGAAGCTCTGACCGGAGCAGAGTTCCCGGAGCCACCAGAGGGCTACGTCGTTTCGTTCGTCGCCTTCCATGAGCGTGGGTTGGGAGCAGTGCCGCATCATTTTTTCTGCGGTCTCCTTTACCATTACGGCTTGGAGCTGCAGCATCTCAACCCCAACAGTGTCCTGCAGATGGCGGTTTTCGTCGCGCTGTGGGAGGGATACTTGGGGGATTGACCCCCATTTTTGCCTGTGGAAGTATTTCTTTGGTTGTTCCTTATACAAGGACAGCCATCAATCGGTTCATATGGGGTGCGCAAGCATCCAGTTCAAGAAGAAGAGGGCACTTGAATACGTATCGATCTAGCCGAAGTCTTCGCACAAGGGGTGGCACGAATATTGGTTCTATCTGAAGAACAGCGAAACCGCCCCCTTTCCTAACTACTTTGGTCGGTTGATCCTCGAGGCACCAGAGAAGTGGTTCTATGGCCCGATAAAGGACAAGGAGAAGCCTAAGATGACCAATCTGGTCGAGGTCGTTAAGATTCTGCGGGATGGCGGGGTGACTGGCATGGGCATCATCGCGGCGTTCCATCGCCGAAGGCTGGCACCATTGGGGGCCCAGAACCTCCGGATGTTCGAGATGGCCGAGGGGACGTTCCCTGCCGGCACTGTGATGGCGGCCGGGGCCCTCGACGAGGTGGAGATCGTGCGGCAGGTGAAGGAGGCACTGGACGTCCCTCGCGACTTCGACATCCTCGGTCACATTCACGCCCATCCGCCGATGCGCCCCGATGAAAATTGCGTCAAATTGGTAAGTCTTTTTTCCTCCCCTTATGCTTGTTGATTTTTTTTTATTTTAGGAACCCCAATCTTAAATTTCGATTTTTAATTGCAGCCAGAGCTTTTCTTCACCCTCTCCAGCCCGCCGGTGCCGAAAGATAAAGTGAAGAAGAATGCGAATCGGATCCGCGCTGAGCAGGCCAAGGCAAACAAGGACGCCGACAAGCTCAAAAAGGCGGCGAAGAATGAGCGGCGGGCGGCGAGGCGGAAGAGGGAGAAGCAAACCGGCGTGCACGAGTCCGACTCGGAGTCCGAGACAGAGGAGGACGAGGGGGAGGACAGCAGCGACGGCGGCGACGACAGCGGAGGTGACGATCCGCACGCCGGCGCTTCCGGCGAGGGGGGAAGCCGCATCGGTGGAGAGACCGGTGCGTCTGAGCCTCCCCCTCCCCCAATAGAGATGACGGGAGTGGTTGCGCCGACACCGCCGTAGGCGAGCAGCGTGCCGGTCGAGGTAGCGACGGAGACCGTGGTGGGACCCCCTCGGATGGAGCCAAGGAAGAAGGGAGGCCTGCGCTACCTGTTGAGGGTGGTGCGCCCATCATGACGGCGGAAGAGGTCGCCAGCGGGGCCCAGGTGGAGGCGTGCATCCAGCCCCCATGGCAATTCCTGAGCCTGCCGACCCTTCAGAGGGGTATAAGCGGACTCGGATCACCGACGAGCAGCCGGACATGGATCCGGCTCCAAAAGCACGAAAGTGGCTGCATCGAGGTCAGTCTGAGCATTTTTTTGGCCTTTCCGACCTTTTTCTGTTTAGTATTGTTTACTCAATTTTTGATTCTTGTATATACAGGCCTGTTCCTCGCCGAGGGGGATTGCCTTTGGCACCGGTGAAGGACCTTAGAAAAGCGGCCGCACGGAGGCCAAGTAGTTCCGGTTCGAGGGCCATGAGTAAGTAATATCCTGCCTGTTGCCACTCTGCCATCCGTATCGTCGACCAAGGCGACCGCCACGGGCGCCGCTGCGCCGGCGAACACGCCCTCGGCCGAAGTAGCTCGGGCGGGGCCAGTCGAGGCACAAGGTGCCGAGGCTGAGCCTGCACGGACAGAGGTCGTTCCGTCCGAGCTTCCTTCGTCGGGGGCCCAACCAGGAACACCGCTTGCGGACAGGTTATGCTGGCATCATCATCACAACCGGGGGAGGCAACGTCGAGTCGGGGGCCAATGGAGGTCCCTACATCCATCGCTACGCTGGAGCAGTGCAGAGCAGGAGCTATGGACGCCCTCAGGGCCCTGTATGCGTCACTGTTCTTCGTAACTCGATTCGATTTCTTTTTGCTTGTAGGGGCTCGCTCGACAGCTCGCCACCCTGGATGAATTGTCCAGCCTCAGCGCTTCGGAACGGATTGCTCGGGAGGCCTCCGACAACGCCGCCAAGTTCTCAGCTGAGCTTTCGAGGAAGCTGCAGGCTAGCAAGGAGATGGCCGACCGGCTTCGTAAGGAGCAGGACCGTGCCGAAGCGAAGAAGGAGCAACTTCGGAAGGAGCGGAACGCGGCGTTAAATGACGCTTCCTCCCTCCGCGACGAAGTCTTTAAACTGGAGCAAGAGCTCAAATTCGAGCGGGGTCAGGCAGAGAAGACCCTGAAATGGGCTAGGCAGACCCAGATGGAGAAGAACAGCGCCGAGGCGAATGTTAAGCTCCTTCAGGTGAGGCTCGACGACGCGGGTGGAAGAGGAGTTGAAGTTTGCGGCCGAGGCGAAGGCGTTCCAATTCGCGAAGGAGGCTGAGGACCTCAAGGCGCAAACCTTATCGTTTTAGGCTGTTTCTTGTTTTTCCGTATGTCGGGGCGTTTGCCCTTAGCCATGCGTATTTTGTGCAGGTCTCCAGGGTCGGTTGGCTCGCGCAGAAGAAGAGGTCAGGAGGGCATTGCAGTACGGGGTCCACCAGACTTTCACCGTTGTCCGGTCTCACTATGATGAGGTGGCCTTCGACGAATTGAGTCAAGGTCTCATCCCTGAATACACCAAAGCTGACCTGGACGCTTTTGAGAAGGAGGTGGCTCCGTACGCCAAGACCCTGGCCGACAATCTTAAGGAGACCTTCGATGCCGCCCGACGCCCGGAGTGATTTTTGTTATTTCGTAGTCTTGGTCGTGTCTCGTCTGCCAGACTATTGCGCTCAAGGCACTTATTTTGTAGTGTATATTTACATCTTTTATGCCCCTTTATCATGTTTCTATGAGCGTAAGAATTTTGTTTCGCACGCTTTGTCTTTGTCGTTTAGCCAAGGGTTCGAGAATTCCTCACAAAATTTTTGCTTTGAAAATTCGTCATCATCCCGAACCTTTTACCGAAGAAAGGTCAGGAGAAAGGATCCTGCGTTCCTCCTAGCCCCCGAGCGTCGGCAACCTTGAGATCATTTTCTCTTAGGTCAGGCGACGCTCAGAGCCGAAGACGCCTTGGATCAAGAAGAAATTTAGGTTGCGATCGTTCCCGAACTTAAATTGCGTGCGAATCGAGTCTCGGCCGAGTGTTGTTCTGAACCGTAGACCATTTGGGAGGGGCATGTCGTCGTGCACCCGTCCGAAAAGCAGGGAGCCCATGGGCCACGCAATGGGAGGCTCAAGGAGGCGAAGGAGTTCACGCGTGCGCGTGTGTACCAACACTGGGGTGCGGAAGCCAAAAAACACATGAGGAGGCGAGAGGACGCATGGGTTCATCCTCATCCTTTCGCGGCAAGCGGGTTGAGTCGTCGCGTCAACAGGCGTATTGATGGTGACGAATGGAATCTGAGGCGGTAGCTTCGCGTCGTCTTAGGGCCTGTTTAGTTCCCAAAATTTTTTGCGCAGTACCCATCACATCGAATTTTGCGACATATGCATGGAGTACTAAATGTAGACGAAAAAACTAATTGCACAGTTGGGTGAGAAATCGCGAGACGAAACTTTCGAACCTAATTAGTCCATAATTAGACACTAATTGCAAAAAACAAACGAAAGTGCTACAGTAACCAAAACCAAAAAAAAATGCATCTAAACGCGCCCTTAACGAAGCACTCCGGGGAGCCCCCGAGGCGAGGCCTTTCAGCTCCTCGCTCGGCTATAAATAGGACGCCGCTGCGGCCAGAGCTTAGTCTCATGTTCTCGTTCCCACCTTTCTCCACCATGAGCGAAGACACAACAGAGAAGGGTAGAGTCTTCACCTCTCCTCCCCGTGGGTCGGGAGACCACGTTCCTCCCGTCCTTGACGTTTCTGGTGATGAACAGTTCGCAAGGCGCCTCTCCGTCGAGCTGAATCGTGACAAAACAACTGTCGACGGCGAGGGAAGCAAGGGCCATGCCTAGCGCCCCTTATGTACCTCGGGGCAATCCTCGAGGGCAGGGCGCACTTTCGCTGGCCGGCCGATCTCCTGATGTTGAGGGAGAAAGGCGGCGGAGACGGTTCCCCAAGCGGCCAAGGCGGCCTCTCGGCGCCATTCCTCACAGCCGGCGGGGTGCGGCCGGTTGCCTCCTGGTCAGACAATCTTTCTCCCAGCATTGGGAGAGACACCAGGGAGGCAGCGTCGTCGGCGGCAACCTCCCCGCCCCCGGCTGCCACTTCTCCATCCCAAACCGGTGAGGAAAGAGCGTGAAAGTAGGGAGGCGGGGTCGGTGCTCTTGATGTCCTCCATCTTCTCCGTGAAGGCGGGGAAGAAAGAGCTGACATTTGAGTATCGGCTTCGTCTTCTTGCTGCCTCACGTCCCTCCAACTGCGCCCTTCCTTCCACTCGGTAGGCACATTGAGCCCATCGCCGAATGGAAGGAGGACAAGGCGGAGGAGGGCGAAGGCACGCGTGTGGCGGACGGAGGGAGATCGGCGGCGGGGTGTCCGTTGCGCCCATGGCGGAGGCTGAGAGGGGGCTGAGGCGAGAAACATGTTTCCTTTGCCCCAAACTCCACCTTTTTCCTTCTCTCTAGATGCAGAGCGCCGGGGGTTTCAGCTTCTCATCATCCTCCCCGGTGTTCACAAGCGTTCGATGGCTAAAAGGGCCTGGCCGAAGTCGAGTCATCGTAGTACTTCAGGACCTCCTTCATCGTCGTAGCAATTTTGTCGTTGTCAACTCTCAGTCGTAGAAGTCTTCAGGATTCTCTAACGTGGCTATCGCACCATGTAAATTGTCCCTGAAAAACTATGAATTTCATTATGATATTCACACAAGTTTTATGCTATCATTTACATATGAACTACTTCTGTTTTTCCTTGTTCTGATTGCATCTCGAGCGAAGAACTTAGAACACATCAAAGCACAATGACAGGTTCTTAGTTTCGTTGGTGAGCAACACCGTAGCCCCGCGGCGTAGGTATTCGCAGTCCGACCAACTACTCCTAAAAAACTCGCAGAAGCAAGGGCCTTTCGTTTCGAAAATTTGGAGCGTCAAAAACTTAAAGTGTCGAAACTTAAGTTTTTGCCTCCCGACCTTTTTCATGGCCTTCAGACTTACAGATTTAAAGTTAGAAATGCGTCCGGATAGATGAGCGGTGCCATAGCCCCCGAGGGCGTAAGCGGCCGCGTCCGACCTATCATAGGCATTCCCGAGCTTCATTCCCTTAAGTCTTTTGCCAAAGAGAAGGGTCGGGGAGGAAACCTACTTACCGTCTGCTAGCCCCCGAGTGTCAGCCGACCTAAGGTTACGCGCCTAAGGTCGGGCGACACTCAACGAGGAAGGAATAGGTAGGTGTTTATCGGTTCGTTTTTAGTTCAAAAAAAGATCGGTTCGTTCTTTCGCTATGTAAAAAGGATTGATATAATAACGTAAATTGTGAAGGTTTGAGGAACGTATCTGTCCGAATGTCGCTCAAGCTTGTGTCGTTAGTCGAGGTCGTATGAACGTTAAGGCCAAGATCCAGGACAAGAAAATAACTCCATCAACCTTTAAATTTCACAGAGAAACAACAGGAAGACGGTTACTTATTTACAACATCTAAGTCCTAGAAATCACTAGGGATAGAAGCGACGTAGCTGTTCGATGTTCTAGGCGTTGGCGAACACTTCTCCTTCAGCATTCTTGAGCTTGTACGTTCCTAGCCGAAGCACCTCCGCGATGATGTACGGGCCTTCCCAGGGCGAAGAGAGCTTGTGGCGACCTTTGTTGCTCTGGACGAGACGGAGTACTAGGTCTCCAACTTCGAAGGACCTCCCTCGTACCCGGCGATTATGGTACCGACTCAACCCTTGTTGGTATTTTGCCGAATATAGAAGGGCAACTTCCCTGGTGAAAGTGCCGGGAGGTGCCCAGAGGGGGGTGTGAATGGGCACAATTAAAATTTAAAACTAAAACTCAAACTGCGGATAACAGACAAAACCGGACAGTCCAGTTTAAAATCGGATACTCCGAAATTTTCAGAGTATCCGGAATAAAACCAGATTTTCCTGCTGTCCGACAAGAACTTCAAAATTAAATTCAACCTACACAATTCTAGTTGAATAGGAAGCTTGCAACAAGTGTAATAACAGGTATAGAAGTAGATCTAGCAAGCAATTGCAACCTAAACAACAAGAACAAGTAAATCTAGCACAAGAACTCAAGAACGATATGAAGAACACAAGTGCTAGTGAACTAGTAAGAGCAAGTATGAATTTGAATGAGCTCAAGCAAATGCAAGGAAGTAAAATAGAGGGAGGAGACTCAAGATTTGTTTCCCGAAGTTCGGCCCACTCTTCCGAGTGACCTAGGTCTCGTTGAGGGGCTCGGTAACACTTGAGCCGGATCTCTCTCAATCCTTTTCCTCCTTCCACTATTCGATCCCTTCCCTTGCAGAGGTGGAATCACACCCTTACAAACTTTCCCGGCTACCCACAATCCTTGGGTGCTCAAGGGCGACGCCTAGCTGGCTAGGGCCTCAAGCCCAAGAGTAACAAGCTCAACACGGACCGACTTGGCGAAGTGCTCGAATGCTCAAAGTGCTCTCAAATCTAGCTCAATCTCTTGCTCAAATCACTCCCCAACTCCTCCAAATCGAAGACTTAGGCTCTAGAAGAGTGGAGAGAGGGCAAAGAAGTGTTGAATGCTCTAATATGCTCAGCACCTTCTAAAGGAGAAGGGTATGGGGTATATATAGCTCAACCCCAAAATCCAACCGTTACCCTCAAGTTAGTACAAAACCGGACACTCCGGTTTAAAACCAGACAGTCCGAAATTTCACAGACCCCTGACCCGAGAGCAACATTCCGGATTAATCCGGACATTCTGTCAAAACTGGACTATCCGAAATTTTTTGGACATTCTGAAATTTGAAATTTCTGCGCACACAGCAAACCCGAGGTTAATTCACAAGACGAATCTACTACAGGGGAAGACAATTTATCTGAAAATAAATCTTTTCAGTCAGATGATCTTCAGACCAACCTAGGGCCTGATTATGTTTTATCCCGTGGAAGTTATCTTTCTGAAGCACAAGAGGAGAGAATAATGGCGCTTATACAGGAAATTCAACCTGAAAGTACTGTTTACGTAGTAGCAGTCATGAGGAAGTGCCATATTTTGAAACCGGGTCCTCATCTGGTAATATAACCACTCTTTCCTGTTAAAAAGGCAACTCACTTCTATCAGTTTGAACTTTCTTTGATAAATAATGTTGTACGTTTTTGCTCCCAAGTTTATAATAATAAGGTAAATTCAGCCATCTTCAAATTCTCACAACCCTTCCAACACTTGTGGACAAATAGCTACTGTTTCCTTTGCTTGAGGACTGAAGTGCCTTCTTTATTGCTCTGGTTCTGTTAAGAGCCTCACATTATGTTCCATTTG